TTCTTGGCGTGACAGGGGGCAGTGCCTCAACCCTCCAATCGCCCCTACCCTGAGCGTGACTGAGTGTGGCATCGCAACCTCCCAATCCGCCCTGCTCTGTGCATGACAGGGGGCAGTGCCCCAACTCCCCAATCAGCCCTGCTCTGAGCCCAACCAGGGGCTGCACCTAGGGATTGGGCCTGCCCTCTGCCACCCTGGAGTGGGCCTAAGCCAGCAGGTCATTATCTCCCGAGGGGTCCCAGACTGCGAGAGGGCACAGGCTGGGCTGAGGGACCCCCTCTCTCCCCCGAGTGCACAAATTTTTGTGTACCGGGCCTCTAGTCCTATATAATAAAAGCCTATATAATATACGTAAATCGACCGAACAGCAGAGGCACCCATGGAACAACCAGTTGCTATGATGTGCATTGACCACCAGGGGGCAGATGCTCAATGCAGGAACTGCTCCCAGTCCGCAGGCCTCAGACCAGCCAACTTGGGAGCCAGCAGGCTGGCGGAGCCGGGTGGGGCTTGCCAGCAAGTGGGCTGGTTGTGGTAGGAGGTGGGGCTGCCCCTGATCACTCCACCGGTCACCTCCTGCAGAGGAAGATAACCTGCAACAGCAGCTGGGGGGCAGGGCTAGTGAGCAGACGGTGCCAAGCTGGCCAAGGTGGGTGCCAATGGGGATCCCCTGATCACCCCACCAGTTGCCCCACAGATTGGCCCTGATCACCAGCCAGGCCTAGGGACCCTACCCATGCACAAATTTTATGCATCAGGCCTCTAGTGAAAATATACTTCCTGGCCACTGTTCCTCATTCATAGACATGGCATTCTAATCTTTTTTTTGTGTGTGGAGCTTGTTTTATTTTTCTCTGTAATTTCAGTTGCTAAAGAGAGCCTGGAACATGGTAGGTACTCAAAAAATATTTGATTAAATAATGAATGAAGGAGTGAATGAATATGCTTAAGGCCCAACTGTATAAAACTGGATGTGTATGTCAGATACTTAGAAGAGAAATAAAATTTTGTATAGAAAGTTGATTAATGGTGATTTTCTTTAATAAGAAAATCCATATTCTTGATGTTATCATCATGTCTGTGTTCCCATTCTTTAATCTAATTATGGGCTTTGGTCAATATCTTCTAAAATTATTCACATTTTTTTCCCCTATTTCACTCCACTTTTTCAAAGCACTTTCACACTCATTTCCTGTGATCATTATAGCCATAGTTTGGTATAAACCCAGCAAGTGTCATTCTTTTCACTATTCAGGTGAAGAAATTAAGGCTCATAGCTAAACTTGTCTAAAATCACACGCTTAGGAGTGGCAGACCAAGAACTAAATTCTAAATCTCTGATGCTTCCTTTGGTGGTATTTCTCTGTCCACAATGTGTTGGCTGTGAAAATTCACTGCTCAACTCTTCTGTTGGGAGAAACATAGTTGACTGACCTCACCATGTTCTTGCTCTTGATCCACCAGAGACTGAGACCATGCTCTCCGGAGCTGCCGACAGCCAGTGATCCAGCATCTATACTAATAAAAGAGAAAAATGGTAATTGGCGTATGATGCTACCCTTTTCATTGGCTAATCAGGGCTATATGCAAATTAACTGCCAACTAAGATTGGCAGTTAACTGCCAACTAAGATTGCCAACAAGATGGTGGTTAATTTGC